TATCACATGGTTCACATTGTAATACATTCTAGTGTTTAGGTCAACCGTATATAGGAGAGAAGTGAGAACCGAATTGGAACGCGAATCTCGTGCGTGAGGACCGTGAGGAATCCCTCTCCGAGTGATATCGGCTATTCGGTTCATTTTTACTCCCATCTCCATTCTTCCTCTATCCAATGCCTAATAAATCGACTGCAACTAACCCTCTCTTGAAGTCTGTGGTTCAAGAGCATGAGGGTAGGCAGGCAGTTCCTACAAAGGTGGCAGCGGTTGGATATAGTTATACCTACGATGAAGCTTGGTGAGGTATACGAGCTAGTTGTGTCTTCAGGGTATGGTTATCAAGATGAGAAGACTCGTCGGTTTGAGACTAAACTGCTGGACCTTTATGGCAGGGATGTAAACCCGAAGTTTAATGGGTCTGTTTACTTGACCCAGCTGACGCGTGGTAATGAGGCCAACTCTCCACGACCCGGACCTACGTGTGAAATTCACGCTCGGGGTTATTGCGATGGAAAAGTGCTTGAGGGTTGCGATGTTAGTTTTGCAATTGGTGACTTTGAGGAAGTTGGTGTTCCTGAGGGTCTTGACAGTGCTCTATGCTACATGAGCGAGGGCGAAGAGGCACGAGTCAGGATCTGTGATCCTATGACCTTCACGTCATGTGAATCCGCGAAATGTGGTATACCCGAAAATATGGAACATGTGCAGTCCCTAAAACAAAAGGCCAGTGAGCCTATCAAAGCAGGAATATATCAAATAGCCGTTGACATCTACTGAGATCTGCTAAGTGACTGCCTCGGTGTCCCAATCAATGACTATGAACAGCAGGCTGAATTAAATAATTTTAAATGTGTTCTGCATCGGAACAAGGCATATGCCTTTCTGAAACTAAAATCACCTCAAGAGTGTCCTGAAGCCTGCAAGCAAGGCCTCGAGTTTAATTTGCGTAATGAGAAATGTCTTTACGGAAAAGGCGAGGCATACCTCCCTCTCCGTGATCACGAAGAGGCAACTGACTGTTTTCAAAAGGTGATTTCTATTAATCCGAAAAATGTAGAAGCAATTCAAAAATTAAAATTGCGTCAGGATACAATATAAAAAGCCCTTCGATAGGAGAAGAACATGCTCAAAAATGCGTTCAAGCGTCTGCGAAGTGGCACGAAGAACTCCAGCAAAAAGATTTTATCGCGCAATATAGGTAAGGAAGCTCTCATGGGAATGCGGACGCTCTGTCACGGAGACCCATATTCCCATCCACGGATAGCAACATAATAGATGTGCTGTTATTAAGTGAGCTTACTTCCCATCACTGGAGAAACACGCAGAGCGCCGAGCCCGATACAGCCAAGCTCACAGTTGAGGAGATGAGTTCGGTGGGCAAGAGAGCCAAGCAAGTATGGTAGAACTGGGAAGAAATCTCTCTAGAAAACGTTATCATATGGTACAGAAACGATAACGCCTTGTAGTAACAGGTTCCTTGATGCAGACATTCCTGTTGGGTTTGCATGAGCAACTTGGCCATGTGGAGGACAGGAAGATGCCGGACGCCGCAAGGACGGGATATTCGTGGCCCTCGCTGACATCGGATGTCTCCGATTTTTGTCTTGCATGCGTCGCGTGTACCAGCTTGAAGAACTCATCGTGCATGGTGGTAGCCCCTCTACAGCCGATGTCCACGGGCTTTCCAGGGCAGCGAGTAGGCATAGATATCATAGGTCCGCTTCTCACAACTCTGAGAGAGAACCGTTATATTTTGGTGATAGTAGACTATTTCACCAAGGTCGCGGAAGCCGAGCTATTACAGGCACAGGATGTTGAGACAGTAGCAACCACATTCTTCAATCGCTGGATCCGCCGTTATGGCGTGCCTGATTCCCTACATAGCGCCCAACGTGCGAACTGTGAAAGTTGTCTCTTCAAAGAGCCGTGCGAAGCTTTTGACGCCGGGTCATCCTCAGAACAATGGGCAAGTAGAGAGGAAAAATCGTACTCTTGTCAACTTATTGAAGGTCTCTACCAAAGAGGTGCAGCTCGAGGATTGGAATCTATATCTAGGATGGGCCGTCCTAGCCTACCGAGCCTCCGCTCACACCTCGACTAGAGTCTCACCATTCAAGATGCTCACGGGCCGTGAAATGAGAGTTCGTTCAGACATTTAGCTCCCTCTTAAGAAACCGTCAGTAGATAACGCGCCTCAGTATGTCTTGCGACTAAAGAACCTCAGGAAAGTGTTTGACGCCGAGCGCAGACAGCTGAAGAAAGCATATGCTAGGCAAAAGAGGTCCTACGATAGACAGAGCCGAATAAACGTCTTCAAAGGGAGAGATTTGGTGAAATTGTATAGACCAATTCCTCCGCCAGGAACTCATCGGAAATTCTATAACCCCTGGAGCAAGAAACCCCATGGAACAATCAAAATCCTGTCGCCCACGAATAATCTCATTCGAAATGCGGAGGTCGCTACTCGGCCTCCTCAAATAAAAGATGCAACCTAAGTAATTTGCTGCAATTTCTTTTAAGGAAACGTCTTAAACAAACTAAAGGTTTTTTAGAAAAGGAACTTGGAGGACATGTGCCGTCCTGAGATTTCCCATCGGAAGGGTGAAGGAAGGAGACATAAAGTGGAGCCGAATACATGTATTTTAAGGAAGACAAAGGAACTAGACCTGAGCTTCACTCGAAGGTCACCCTTCGCATGCAAGGGCCAGACAAATCTTAAAGTAACCGTCGGACACCAATTGATCACATAAACAAAGCATTACAGGAATTGTTTCAAATCACCTTTTTCATGCACCATACTGAGGCTATTATTAAGGTTTTGTAGTACTTTATTTATGTGACCACCCGATGTCTGGCGGCAATATTCAGATACGCCTAGTCATTATACGCGTTGGCTGGCCTTCGGACTAATCTCAGGTCTGGTCCCTTTGTTCTCCCTGAAATAGGTTTACTCGGCTCCAATTTATGCCTTCGTCCACCCGATGGGAAGTCTCGAGACGCTACAGTTTTGAAGCCGAAATTAAGCGTAACTAGGCTCTTTTGTTGTTAACGATAGGTCCCCAATGTGTACGGTCCATAAGCCATTCCAATAGCCACCCACAGATCATCAGTAAAGGGTCACGACGGCAAAGAATACCATCGATACTATCCCTACTTCTCAAATCCTTCATCTCAGTCCTCTTATAAGGAGGCTTACATGACGATGTTTCATTCGGCATTCATTGAGTGGTGTAGGTGGAACAGGCAAGAGTAGAGCAAATAGGTATCCAAACCAGTCCAGAGAAAGGTCCTCGCACCCCTGCATGGCGTTCATTTTGACATCTTGCCTCTCCCCTAAAAGTATAAATCAGATAACTCATTGTATTACAACGATACATGCTCTACCCTAGTTAAGGGTAACAAATTTTTTTACAATTCGTCTCCTTCATGGCTTAATTTTTGAGTAGTTGTTGCACTCTTACGCTACCTTGAGTAGAGAAAGAGATCAAGCCTTCAGGTAAGGCCTTGGAGTTAGGGCACCTGACAAAGGCACTGCGGTCACCCATGCGACAGCTATTGAAACTGGCAATCAAGCAAACAATGTATCACAAAAATAAGCACACAAATTTTGCTCTCATGGGTCTAGCCATCGCCT